TTATCTGTATTTCCTTAGTCTTATCACTGTTCGTACTACGTAGTACTACTACTACACTACGAAATTATTCGGTGTTACATTTTGATGCTTATTGCTACTTGTAGTACTACCGAACCAGAAGAATAAAAGAGATGTCTTCCTTGTCTTGCTGGCGTGCTCATCCTTCAGTCTGCACCTAATCCCCAAGACTTTATTCCGCGGAATGCCTGAACCCTGGGCCAAAAACAAACAGGTCCTAAGCTCAACACCTGCAACCTTAAGAAACCTGAATCCTACACAGTGAAGGTCGCATGCCTCAGCTCGCAAAATTGCCGCAATTGAGAATCAGTGTCCATGCCAGTTTAGGGGAGCGTAGCAACCTTTTAAAACACAACCCTAAACCCTGGACCCTCAAACTCTAAATCCCTAAATGCCCAAACCTTGAAGCTTAAATCTAAAATGGGAAACCCCCAAACTTTGATCTGTGCCTGGGAGGCCGAGAGAGTTGAACTGGTCCTTGAAGCTCATCTGCCCTGACTGCGACGTTCACTTACTGGTGGTTCGTAGGGAATAAGGCTTTATGATATATTCTCTCAATTTTCCAGGCTTAGGGCTTGACTTGGAGGGTCAGGGTGCCTTAGCAGGTTCATGATCCGGACACCTAGGGTCAGTATATGGATTAGAGTTTTTTTTTGGTTTTTCCTACTTGCTTAGTCCCCTGACCCTCCACTTAGAGTTTGGGCTTCGAGTTGTGGCCTTCAACTTCGAGTTAAGGTTGAGGTTTTGCAGGGTCTAAGTAAAGTTTAAGTTTCGGGCTTGCTTCAGTTTGTACCCGTTGATTGTTGAAACGCACTAGGCTTTTCGTTGTGTAGCAGCTTGGAGATTAAGGTTATGGGCCTGGATTTCTTGGTTTAGTGTGCAACTATGGTTCCTACTTATGACCCTACTCATAACTACGGAGCTCTGGAAGCCCCCCAAACCCTACATGCTTCTCCAGATGTCCTAAACAATCCCTTCAGTACCTAGTTACCGTACTGCACCAAATTCGCTCGAAACCCTAGGCCTAAAATCTCGCACCCCAAGCCCGACATCCCATTCTCTAAGCGCCAACTCTCAACCCTTTTAAAACCCAGATCCCGAATCTCAAGCCCTAAGCCCAACACCCCGAATCCTCAACTGAATCCTAAAATGCTAAAGCCCTCAATCCCAAATCCTCATCCGTGATCCCCGCCCAGGCCTAGTTCGAGCAGCTTCTCTGGGGTAAAGCGCTCGGCGATCACATGAAGCTTCCGATGCACGTGCTGCCTCGGCAAGAAGCCCCTGTGTTCAGGGAAGTCTTTAGTTTCTGCGGTTATTGGTTTAGGGTTGAAGGTTGGCGGGCTTGAAGAAGGGAGGTTCGGGGAGTCCCATCTCAAAGTTGTTGGGGTTGATTCCCAACATCTCTAGAGCAACCGCTCGAGTCCTCCCAGCATGAACCTCGTGCCATTAAAACTGAAGTCGGCACATCTCAAGCCCAAAGTAAAGCTCCCCCCAGAGCCCAGAACACCAGATCTCAAACGTTACAGCCCAGCATCCCCAACCCAGATCCATATATCCAGCATTTAGCGAATGAGGGTAGTTCTCCAAATAGTAGCCCCTCTGCATATCCCCCATACCATGTTTATGCTTCTTCAAAGGACCCCCCAAAAAGGAACCCGCATTTGAGAAACTCCCAGGAGAGTCCGCGCGGCTGCAGGTAGCCATGAAAGCCAAGGTCCCCGAACAAGGCATCGGGGTCGCCTGGTGTCCATACTGAACTAGTGCTGGCATGGGGCATAGGAAAATTTGCGCGCTTAGACTTCTCCTTGCCCTGAAAACTGAAATTTGCGAACAAGAAAAAAAGCGAGTAAGCAAGCCGGTCCATCGGCAAGGGAGTAACGAAGCAAGTAGGACAGGTTGCAAGTAATCCGGAAGCAAGTACATGAGCAAGTAAGTCACTGAATGAGCAAGTAAGGAAATAAGTTTGTGCTGTGCCCTAAACAATGAACCATCTACAAACTCTTTGGGATGAGGTCAGGCCCCTATATTTTGCTCAGGGTCGGGGGAGTGAAGCGCATTTGGCCCCAGGGTTCCAAATAACTCAAAGCAGGCACCATTTATAGCCAGGGTTTCGGTAAGCAGAACATGAACAATCTATTGGACAGTATGCTGCTGCTGCTGCTGTGTGTAGACGCACGGCTTTGCGGTTGAGAGTGTAGGCTTCACAGTTCCGCGTTTCCAAGTCTACATGAGAATTAGGGGCGAGGATTTGGCGCTAATGCTTTGTGGAGAGGTTTGGGAAAAGACAAATCTCAAATCTCCCCCACAAATGCTTGGAGGGAATATCATCTGATATGGGCCTGCGCCCACTTACTGTAAAGGGAAAACGCCAATCAGGTACTTCAACCCTTTGAGGTTTGTCTAATTGTCTTTCTAAGCATATGGAACCATAATACGGGTAATTATTTAGGCCCCTAAACCCTACTATAATATAGTAGTTTCCATTTTCTTTTCCATTATCCCCATATAACCCCAACATATATCCTATAACCGCTATATAATCCCCATATAACCTCAATCTAACATAATTGTCTTTCTAGGCCAAGGAGCCTTGACGTTGTTCCTGCTGACAAGCTTGATAACACGAGAAGGCTATAGCCCCCCTTTAGGTAGATAGAATATGGGGTATATAAGTATATAAGGATCTTATTATAATATACCCAAAGCCATATTCTATCTACTCAAGGGGGACTATATAGATACAGAAATCATCTTAAGGCGATGTGAAATGTGTTAGAAGCTCACAGTCCTCCAGGGCAGACCCCCAACTTACAACAATATGTTGAGGTATAAATGTTCCAAAATCCATTTGAGTTAAAATATTTCCCATTTGATTAAGTTTGTTTTCATACCTATGCATCGTTATGATAACCGCGTTTGGTAACAAATGAAGCTTAAACAGGAAAGAAAGTGGATTGTATTGGTGTTGGATTAAATAGCCCTAAGCTCTACACCACTAATCTGAAGCCCCAGATGTAGGCCATGAAACACATCCAAGCCCCAGAACTTGCAGACCTTTCTACTGGAAGGATACTGCCTGCGGCCATCATGGCGCCGAAATTACGAAGAGCAAGAGCTTTCCAAAGGATCGCTGCTTCAATCCAACGCTATATTTCTGGCCGCTTTGGGTTTCTGGCAGGGTTTGCTGTGTGTTTCAGGGCTGTGGAGTGAAGGGCATGTAAGGCTGGAGTGCAGTGGCCAAGCAACCATACCGACTAACCTCATGAAGTTCTGTTGGCTCTAGCAAGAGTAAATCTAAAACTGGACGATTCTTGCGGGCAGGCCGCGTGGGTTCTCATTTAGGGTAAAGCCTTTTTGTGGGCATCTGACTGCATGGGGTGGCAGGCATTCGCATTTTTTATTTGGCCCCCTTGGGGCATCTTTGACAAGAACTGGCCCCAAATTATCTACTTGTAGGGAGGGAAGCACTTTTGAAGCCCCAAACCTGAACAGTTTCGGGCTATGGCAGCCCCTGAAGTAAACTCTACACCCCAAACCCTGAAGCATGACAGGAAATTGGAGCCAAGGCCGGGTACGCGAGCAGCATTCAAAGCACAAAGTAGCTCAGGGACCATCATATTAGGGTTATGTTAGGGTTATATGGGGGTTATGTTAGGGTTACGTTAGGGTTATTTTGGGGTTATATGGGGATAGTGGAAAAGAAAATCAAAGCTACTATCTGAACTTGCAAGAAGTGCTTTGGCCCCTTTGAAAAGGTCCTAAGCATTTTCAGATCTAGGGCTTAAGGTCAAACTTATTCACTATGGGGTTTCAGAACCTTAATATCCCCATATTACCCCAATATAATCCGTTACTACTACTACTACTACTACTACTCTGCTACTACTAGTACTAGTACTAGTACTAGTACTAGTACTAGTACTAGTACTAGTACTAGTACTAGTACTCCTGCTGCTGCTTCTACTTTGATGATTATTCTTATTACTGATTGAAGCTATTGCTGTTATTAATAATATGATGGCTAGTACTATTCCTATTATTACTGTTATTGCTCTTACCAAAGTGCTGCTGCTAGTGTCAACGTGCTATGAGCTTCAAAAAAACCACTTCCGACAACACGTCAACAATCTCCGCATGGGTGTCTCCAAAAAGAGGGGGCCCCTTACGTATCCCTAGACGTTCTAGTCCTTGATGAGGAAAATATACCTCAGCGCACAAGTTCTTCAAAGCAGCCGGCTCAGTCTTGCAACCCGAAGCGCAGCGAGCCACAAGCTGAGCCGCGGACGAAGCGGCCCAGACGCATCATGCCCCGCCAGATCCGCGCCAGGATGGCACGAACCAAGGTGGGCGTCTGGAGCGCAGCTCTTCCTGCACAACGGCCATAGCCAAACAGGACTCGGCGGCTTGCATGTGTCCGGTCCCCGGCAGCACACGCACGCGTGTTTGGCACTCTGCTTTTTGCTGCCAGGCTCACGAGGTGGTGCTGCGGAACCTGCCTGCCTGGCGGTGGCAAGAATACGCGGCGCTTCCGCGCCGGAGGCCGCGGAGGCGCAGCGGGGATCGTCGCGAAAGGGACTGACAAGCTTCTGCCGTGAGGCCGCGACAAGCGGCATGGCTGGGGCCGACACGGCAGCAGGCGGCACACTACGCTAAACACGCAACAGCAGCCCGGCTCGAGCCCAATAAAAGGTCAGGCAATCTGACGTGCGCAAAGACATCGCGTGTCGACCTGACGAAGCGCTGCGCCCACCGCGCCAACCGCGCGAACTCCTTTTCGCGTTCTCCGCAAGCGGCTCAGGGCTGCCGAAGAAACCCGGGCAAAGGCACGGAGGCGGCGCGGGGGCATTGCCCCGGCCGCTCCAGGCGCCAGTACTGCGCAAGGGCGTTCAGTAGCTGCTGACGCACCTCCTCCGTCACCTGTGCCTCGCAAGCAGGGCACGACGGGAAAACAGAAAGGTCCACACGTAGCACAACCTGCCCGCCTGCACAAACTCCAGCACGGAGTCCAGGAAGTCGCACAATGAGGCATGCCTCTGCGGCACCCACGTAAAGCGGTCGTAGATAAAAGCCGCAATCTCGTCCGCAGTCTGACGGGCCTCACAGACGCCGCAGACACACAAGGCAAAGCGCACAACGCCGCGCGCCCGCCTGGATACGCAAAGGGTGCCGCCCAAGCCGCGGACGTTGTTCTCGAAGCACGGGACCCTCCTCGCCCAGATGTCGCTTAAGCAGCAGCGCGGAAATGGATGACAGAACAAGCTGCAGAAGGGGCCACGAACAGCTGCCACAGATGCTCGAGCCCACGAAACGCATCACAAAAAGCTAAGCTTGACATGCCAGCGACAAACCACACACGTCACACATAGACCAAAAACCGACCCCCAGCGCGCGCCTCCCTCCTTCTGGTTCAATGAAAGCAAGCGAAAAACGTGTCGCCTTTAAAAAGCCGGCCGCGCACAACGAAGGCAGGACGCGGCGCCGCGGTGTGCGGCAGCCGCACCTCCCCCACCCCGTAGGTGCAAGCGCGGCTACGTAAAAATTCAAGGAGGCTCGCGCACTTGATGTCGGGGTTGAGAGCTCGTACGAGACCCTCCACACAGCCGACGCGGTGCTCTGCCAGCAGGTCATTCAAAGGACCAGTGCTGGCAGAGACCAGGACAATGAGCGCGAGTTCCTCCGGACTCCAGGCCGGTTCCGCGGCGGAGTCCTCCTGTACTTCAAAAAAATGACGACGGATGTTGGGATTATAGACGGGCTATCTGAAGTCATGCAAGTTAGGTTGTGGATGGATGGTTTCCCCGCATGGATCATGATCAATGGACCTGGTTTCCTTATCAGGGAAATAATAAGGGACGAAACAACCCTACCAAAGAGACCCCTATTTCCACTCTTAATGGCCCCTGGGGAAGCCTAATGATGACAGCTCATATATGCACCAAGTAGGATTCCGAAGGAACCCCTATACACGCACAAAAAACAGAAGAAACGCCCTAATTGCTTTGTTGCACCATCCTGGACCTACGAGGGTTCAAGGGGGAATCCTTGACTTCAGCTTGAAGGACTTGCAGAATAGGAGCTATCGCTTTCCGGCAGAAGCCCCGGAACCCCAAGCACTCAGCCCCGAAGCATGCATGGAGCTTCTCACGTCTGGAAGCCCCTTCAGCTAGCCCAAAATGTGGAAGTCGGTCAAAATAGGGTTACCCCAGGGATATATGGGGATAATGCGCAGGTGATGGTTTCCTTTTGGAGATCTATGAGTTATTTTCAGAAGCTTCTATATCATAACCTTTTATAAAAGGGAATTTTCAATCCCCGCCCACACTAACCCTTGGACAAGAATTACGAAGATTCATTTCGAAGGGAACAATCACCTCGCTCATCATGAGCCCCCCCCCAAGCCTCCCTGTAATACATAGTCCCCCTAAACTATAATGGCGTTAAACGGGAGGTGATAATTTTTCCAGAAACCATCTCTTTTTGCACAAAAGGCTAAGAATGCAAGTGTTCCAGATGAAATCTTGGTGATAGGGATCTCAGGATTGCAAAAGGACCCTGGGGGCCTTTGAGGGCAAGACGGTGTCTGAAGCTACTTCTGCCGATATTTGGAGATTTTACCGACCCGCGGGATCCCTTCCAGGATGACGGCACAACAAAAAATCCTAAACCCTCAACAGTAGCTTCCATCTCCTTTTCCATTTTCCCTATGAAATACATATGTATCCTATTATAATATGATAGTTCCCGTTTTCTTTTCCCTTGTCCTATCAAGCGTCGGAGTTTTGTCCATGCCGCACGGTGCCGTCGAGGCTGCACGTGGCACAGGCTTCCTAGGCCCCTGATTGCTAATTACGTCCCAAGTATTAGGCACTAAGGGTTATACAAAGGAGTGCTTCAAGGGCTAGGATTGCTGGTGCTCTTTGCCAGCTTTGAACATTCCAGCCGCGGCTTAAACGTGGCAAGCCTAACTACTGTGGGCCCAAAGGGCTAAGTTGTGAACGAGCTTTCGAAAAAAGGCTTTGCTCTGAAAAATGTACGCGCCCCATCTACTTTCAGTTTAGGAGATCATAACTTCCAATCTCTCTGATGAGAACCACCATTTTGCAGGTAGCTGGACTTGCAGGTGGTATAACCTGCCTCCAGGGTCCCTCGAACCCAGAACCCCTACAACCTCAGCCATAAACCTGCAAAACCTAAACCCCTAATCTTAGCCTCACAGGAGCCATAGTCTAAACTCCTAGTATCCCCGCATAATAGTCCCTATATTACTCCCCTATATAATCCCCATAGAACCCCTTTAAGGAGTTTAGGCCCGAAACCCTAAACCCTATAGAACCCCCTTGGAGGAGTTCAGATTATGGCTCACACGGCACCTAGCGGGATCCTTTGGCGACTTTGCGAGCTGCCGGCCGTTGCAGTTGCAGGAGGCGGCAGGTCTCCACACAGCACCTGTGGCTTGAGTTTTTTTTTGGGGGGGAATATAGGGAATATATATGGGTAATGTTGAGATAATGGAAAAGAAAATGGAAACTACAGGAATTAGGGTTTTGAGGATTTAAAACTTAGGGAGTTTAGGATTCCTTTGCTACCCTCCGTCCGAAGTCACCCCCCGATCGCAGGGTTTCCTTCCCTAGTTATTGAGGGATAACTATCTAAAGCTGATCGAAACAAATTAAGGGGTAACCTTGAAACATCGTATAGGGGGGGTAACAGAGGAACCCATGAGTGGAGGGGTGCGCTTACCGGTGGTTAGTAGGGAGTGAAAGAATGGCATATAGGGACGAGTATACGGGAACATATATAGGAATGATCCTTCCCTCCATTCCACACTAACAGGCAGTAAGTTTGTTCTTTATGCTTTTCATGGAGCCCTTTTGCACCTTCTTTCCTGGCACAATTGGGTTTGGGGTTTAGCGGTTTAGGGGCTTAGGAGTTTTGCGACGAACCTACATTCCCGCAATCAATCACACACAGTTTCCTAAATTGTATCAATATAATTCACCATAGTCTTTCAACGCATAGATTTTTCAAGATCGCAACACCTCTTAACTAACGGACGTTCTCAAGCCGTATGATGAACCCTGGCAAAACTTAAGGCACAGATCTCATCAACTGTCTGTCTACTAGGATAGCATCTAGTGCCTGTGGCCTACAACTTCTTCCGGCCAAAAGTCTAAATCAGAAACCCTGTGATCGAGACGCTTGCCAAAATCCATATGTATCAGGAGTCATCCTTCGTCAACCCACACGCTAGTAACTTGGTGTATAAGGGATATAAAGTCTTCCAGCCTCATTCGCAACTACAAAAAAGACTAGGCTTGAGGACTGAGGTTTTTGTTGCTTTGCGATCTGAGTCTGCGCTTGGCGGCCCTGCGTGCTATGCTCCGATTTTTCCCGCTTGCATTGCTTATTGGGGAGCAGGGCAACCCCACTTTGAACTTGAAACCTGACGCCATTAAATCCTTAACTCTTATCCAAACCGTTGGTTGGCCTCCAAGTTCACAATGACATGTTATTCGAGGGGATCCATGCTTTAAATCCTTTTGGGGTCTGGGTACCGGTACCTGAACAATAGACCCAAAGAAGCCGTCCCTTAGGACCCTAACCTTCCCTCAACACCTTGTGGCAGCCACGTGAATTGGAGTAAAGCCTTCTGCGCATGGCCTCAGTCTGGGGACTCCCCATGACATAGGGACAATGGGGGATGCCAGACTAGAGGTTTAGGTCTGTAGATTCATTGCTTTAGGGTTGGGTCTTCCTGGATGGGTTACACAATGTATAGCTAGGCATACTTGTGAACTTGCACTGCCAGGCTTCAAGTTTTGTGGGATCTGCCTCTTGTTTCAAAGCATAGGGTTTAGGAGCCTTAGCAGCTTTGCCTTCTGCACCTCACAAAGGTTTGAAAATCGTTGGATTTAGAGCCTACAGGTCATTCGTGCATTTGGAGCCTGCGAAACTTCTTTTTGGCATTCAAGAGGGTACCGCCAACTACTCTCTGGATCCTGCTTTTGAAATGAAATGATTTTGGCTGCGGTCCACTGCATACCACGGTCCAACTTTAAACCTGAACGGGGAGTTTATCAAAGAACTGACTGGGGACTCCCACAGTGTCGTTCTCATCCCAATTTTATCCTCAGGGCCATCCAGGTCCTTCATCTTGAGAAACAGCTAAATCATAAAACCAACACCTTAAACCTCCAAACCTTCAAGCCCAATCCCGGAACCCTCAACCGCTCAACCGTATGGCCGGTCGATGTCGGCTGCGGCATCCAAGAGGAGCTGCACAGCATGGACTTGATTCCTCCTTAAAGCTCTTGTACCCATTGGGGTAATTTTAGGGTCATATTGGGGGAATGAAAAAGAAAATGGAAACTACTACAATGGGTTTTATAGGGATTATAGGAACTACGGATTGGGTTTGGGTTTGGCGGTTGAGGGATTAGGGTTTTAGGATTGATTGATTCAGGTTTGGGCTTGAAACATTAGGGTGGGGGTCCGGCTTAGGCGTGCAACGTCTGGGCTTTCCAAGGTTAACCTTTCATATGCAAGTTGCAGCATCCAAAGAGACCAAAACATTGATGGCCTGTTGGTGTATGGAACCGCTTAGTGGGTGAACAAAAAAAGGCTAAGCACTACCTGTTGGACATGTAAGGGGCTTAGGGTTTAGGGTTCAAGATTTAGGGTTTACAGTGCAGAATTTGGGCTTAGCATGAGGGATCTAGGATTGTAAGGTTTGGCCACTAGGGCGCGTGCAATTTGTGGCATTGGAAGAGCACAAATTGTTCATGATGACTGACCCAGTAGAGGGATCAGTAAGTGCTGTGTTTACACTTACTCAGGTTCTTCCTTGAAGGTCGGGGGATAGTATCCACCTTGCTATGGGGTATTGATTCAAAGGTCCCATGAAATTCTCGCTAATGCTTTCTTGTTCCAACTTTCAAACACCTCCTTCGAAAAAGATCTCCATCCCTCCTCCGAAGGATTAGGTGACATGTGACCACAAGGGTTAAAGATGGTGTTAAATGCGGGGTCACTCCATGCTTCTGGTTGTACCTTTAAAAGCAGACGGGGGATCACCTAAATGATTCCTTTGCAGCTTTAGCACGCCTTGGTTGGGTAAGCATTGGGGTGGTACTCGCGATCGCTTGTAGATATACATGCATTTTTTCTGGTTTTGGATGTTCCGTAGTGCCTTTCAGCATGAGTCATTTGCAAAATAATGACCTTACCAAGCAGCAATGCTGGCAGAAGGCCCGCGCCCACTAGTAATGCCGTAATAGGAAAATAGAAGAGGCGTCTACATAACTGCTACGATTACTGGACTTCCTCCGCGTGCATGTGCACCTAACCTCAAGAACTGCTGGCAAATGGCCCTGCAGCACAGTGCATGGCTGTCTTGCCGTCCTCCTAAGGCAGGGCTTACGGTCACGGGGTAGGCACAGATTGGGGTTTGCAATTGCCATCAATGGTTTGGAGTTCATGGCAGGTTCAGCAGTAGCTAGATGTAGAGAAGTGTGCAGCAAGCTATCGTTGACACCTTATGTGAGCTTCTTTCGATACTGCTTCTAAGAAGCATATTTCTCAACACCAAACTCACTTAGATTTTTTCCAATGTCGAGGAAACTGCTGTTCGAACTTTCTGGGCTGTATCTTGGTGTAGCATCCCCTTATAGTCACCTAGTTTCCCCCTGTTAAGACCCTAAACGGTAACCCTTTTGTATAAAAAAACGCAGACATCTGGTTAAGGTTGATTTTTGCAGAGCCCCAGGATCAAGGGTTGGGGTCTGTAGGTGTTAGGGAACCTAGGCCCTCTTATCACCTCTGCCAGGTTTTTGCATCATGGTTTGCAAAACATTATGTGGCTGCTATAGGCGTCCTTTTCCAACGCGCGGCTGTTTTGTTAGGGAACTGTTAACATGCCGAAAAGGTTGCTAAGTGTCTTAACTTCATGTCTACCTGGGCTAAAGCTTCCCAAAGTGCTTCCATGCTCCGCCCGCTTTCAACAGCGGAGCAAAGTGTACGATGTTGCTGCACTACGCGCAGGCACCGGAAGGACCACCATATTATATACGCGCTGCGATATGCGGGCTAGAGGAAACATCTATAGCAGCGAGTAGGGCATGACGCAGCGAACTCGTGGATCATGTGACTCTGGCAACCTGAATTTGATGATGGCTTTCCGAAATTACGCAGGACACACAGGGTTCCCGTTTAAGGATTGCTCGGAGTGAAGTCCACCCCCGAGATCAACCTAGCCTCATGGACCTTCTTTGGAGTTTCATCTGAGAGGATTGCCGATAGTATCCCCGTATCCCCGGACAGAAGACACCAACCTGAAGGTGATCGAGCCCATGATGCTTTGAAATTGCACAAGTATAGCCAGGCCTTGAGTCCAACCATCGAAGATCTTATGATTACCCAAATCCCAAGACCTGAATGAGTGCTCACACCCATGGCTTCACTGTATGTGAGGCATTTTAGGCCTCACAGTCTTTTGTGGGGTAGCTGTTGTTACGGCTCTCGCTGGTGTACGCATAGTTTTTACTTGCAATTCCTGAAAAAATGCCTCAGCGCTAGATCATGCCAATGTAGCCTGTCTAACCCTACCTGTACCTGCTCATGAGCCTCCAAACGCGAAACCCTAAACCCTTTGCGACCCATGTCCTGCCGCGTCAGATCCACCGTGGCATTTGCCTGCAGCAGCATTTGGATCACCTGCCACAAATATTCTGAAACAAGGGCAGCAGAATCGGCTGACTGGACAGTAGCTCTAGCCTGGCAACCTTATTTGAATCCGTAATTTCACAGCTCATGCGCGAAAAGGGGTAAGCTCATTCATCTCATTCCAAGCGCGTGGGGGAGGGTTGCAAGAAGCCCGGGAACCTACCCTTTCTACAGATTATAGACGAGGCTCCAAATTGGTTAGGATGAGATGTTCGCTATAGCCACGACCCCCTTTGACCCTCTAAAACTGCATCACAAAAAACAGGATCTATGTTTATGTTGGGTGGTCCCAAAGTATGGTTACCAGTGGTCCTTGCGGTTACCTAGCAAGTCCTCTGTTTTGGGGTCACCCCACATACATACTCAAAAATGCTCCTGAAGACAGCCATATAAGCCCATCAAGACTATTTTTAAACATATTTAGGGCTTCCACGCCGTGCCCTTGATTGGGGACACTTGTTAAATTAAAGCATGATTTGGAGGATATCAAACTGAGTTGAACACACTATCTCTGGAGACACCCATTTCACTTGAGCGTTGCTTCTTTGCTGGTTGAGCCAGGTAAGATTTCATGCATCTTATAACACTCGACCGCAATGGAGTGCATAATCTTATGCTATATTGGGGGCTATAGTACCCCATAAACACGCTACTCATGGAGTCCCCGTGCCTTCCTCACTGCCTTGTCTTACCTCTAACCAACAAGGAATGACCTATAGAAGGCCCTGCATAATCCCCAGTAATATAGTAGATTCCATTAACTTTCTTCACTCCTTGCTTCCCTGCTACGCAGGCTAAGCTACAGACCCCCCATATAATACCAGTGTCTATTTCACTTTCGATTTTTCCATCTGACTCTCCGTTATTGGGATAGTATGCTTTTAAGCACTTAACGCTGATCCCTAAACCCTACATAACCCCTATATACCGTCTCAACAGAGTCCTACGCTTTTCGTGACCCTATATAAACATCCTCTGTATCTCTAGGCCCTAGAGCCCCCCCATACACAGCTACATACCCTTATGTCCCAAGTTTTTTGGTCACTCCCTTTTCCTTGGCCTTGAGGTGGCCGCGCTCTGAAGCAAGCGACAACGCCGTGCCAGCGGGGCTCATCACGTCCTGCGTTGCTCTGCTGTTGGGAAAGCAAAAGCTTACGTGGGTTACACAGGCGTTTTATCAGGATATACAGGTGGTACTTGGGTCTTAGGACCGCGCTGCCGCATTGACATGAAATGCCGCATGGACACCGTTTAGCAGTACGGAAATCTCTGTGTGGCCCGGTCTGTTGCTGCATGTCAGTTTGGGGAGGTTGTCAGCAAAGCCAAGTTCAAGGGTCCAAGTACGGGAACAAGGAAGAGATACTAGTATGATACCGAATTACTCATCAAGATCTGATGATCGATGTGTGCACCCGAAATACCTTCTTGGTCAATGTTTCTTTAGGGTATGGAATTGTCTCACATGTTCATAGCAGAAAGTAGATTCTCAACGCCGAGACTTAGACCGTTGGTTGTTTGGCCTGAGCCCTAACGGGCTAGGATGGAAGGCTTGAGATCGAGGTTCCATGATTCACAGAAAGGTGGACAGATTCAGTTGGTTACCAGGGTTTGCGGTTCAGGGTAACTATGTATAATGTGAGCTTGAGGCTCAAGGCCGAGTTCTTATCTTGGAACTACAAGTCTTGGAGGCTTCTTCTGTCTGGGAACCCCTTGCAAACGTCGGCTCACCAAAGAACCCCAAATCCTTAACTTAACATCCAAATGTCCAGATGTCGAAATCCCGGATGTTAGACCATTAAAGCCTACGGCCCTACCACCCTGCACTCTGACTTAGATGGACTGGAAATTAGCTGATGTCCAGTCTCTCCCTGCTTTAACTGCCGGCTTGAAAGGTCGGCTAATTCCGCGTCTAAAATCCCCAGAAGATTGAACCCACAACTCTAAGCCTGCCGATTGCATGTAGAGGGATTTACGAACACATATCTAAGATTTGTTGCAGAACACAACTGCAGAATAACCCATTCTAGCTGCGCATGCTGACAGCTTGGCTACTTGCCTGTCCATCGAGGAACCCCAGGGCTCTTAATAGCCGGAAGCGGGTACTACTTGTAGACGGTAGGGCCAAACAGGGCTTCTTTGATAGACGTAAGAGCACTGAGAGAAAAAGCTTGCCCGGCTCCTTATCTGCCTTGTACTGGAGCAGCAAGAGCACCACCTGTTGCAAGCATAGCCACGTGAGACAAAGATCCAGCGCTCATGTAGCAACGTTCTGTGGGGTGGAGATAATGAGAGTCCTACTGTGCAAAGGGATGTAAACAAGGCCTAGTGTCAAGCAATCTGCCACTAAAGGCATTGCCTCTGACCAACCCTGTCTTTACGCGAGGCTTCGTAGCATGGCAACAACTCCTTCAAGTTTAAAACTTTGCCCGCCTCCGAGACATCAATAGGAAAATCAAGTGGCATACACAGCTGAACCACCCAAAAGTCTCAACATAGCCAGGAGGGGCATGTGTGAAACTTAAGCACTGAAATACCATAAACTTGCAACATGATGAATCCAACACCTAAAAGCCCTCAACAACTCCACAGCCCAAAGCCCAAAACCCTCAAGTCAAAATGCAAAAGCCCTAAACTCCTAATCAGTGTGCAGAGTTCTCTTGCAAGACTCGAAGCAACTGTAATCCCTGGACTGGCTGCAAAAAGAAACACGACAGGGACCTTCTCAAAGTTATCATTTTCTATTTATGGCGTTTTGGGTCTGTGGTTTCTGAAAGGCTGGCTCGCTACGGTCAGTATGGGATATAATGAGATTCAGGCTCAGACTGTCTCAAAACCATTAGGCTACACATTTTGCAAGTATAGTCGCCAGTCCTGCTATTGACGTACTTGGACAACTCTAGTGGCTACGCAAGGAATCAAAAGGATAAGGGAAGTTTGGGATAACATAGGGAGAATGGAAAAGAAAATGGAAGCAACTATATCAAAATAGGGTATATGTTGGGGTTGGTAGGGAAAGAGGGAGTATACTGTATATCCAAAGTCCTGATTTACGGGCACTCACCGTCTCAGGTTTCATGGACATGAAACCTGAGACACCTCAAGATACAGGCAAGAGACTTCAAGAGTGGACCAGAGCTTTAGAAATGCTTCTCACAGCTCTCACTAAAGAGTGCTTGCCTTCCAGGTTAACTAAATGCAAGTGCAAGGTTTCAAACTAAACGTGTATTGATACATTTACGCTTCACAAGAAAGAACCAAGAATCGGAACCCCCCAGAACCCTTCTCCCACCCATCCCTGAAAAACCCAAGATAGATACTATTATGATATAGTGGTTTCCATTTTCTTCTCCATTATCCCTATTATATACCCTATTATAGTCATTTCCATTTTCTTATCCATTATCCCTACATTGCCCCGAAATTCCCTTATCCCTTGAATGTTCACTCAGGAACGCCGCAGGCCTCACTTCGCTCTAGGCCCTAAAATCATCCGAACTCTCTAAGTCATAGGCCCTGAACCAGAAATCCCAAACCCCGAACCGAGCAAAACATAACAGAACCATACATACTAGACTCTAGACCATCCCAAAACCTAAAGCCAAGCCCAAAACTTCATCCGTAAATCCTGAAAGTACTTTGTGTACTGCCTGAGGGTAGCCGTATGATGCTGCCATGTGCAGAGGGACATAGCCTTTGCCTTAGCTCCACCAAAGTTCGGTTTGGGGTTTCGGGTTAAGGGCTTTGGGTTGAGGGATATTCGGCAGCCCCCTGCCCAAGCAGCTCGCTTTTGTTCAAGTGGCTTCGGGTCCTGGGTTAGGCTTTAGGGTGGTTGCTTAAGCTACCATTTCCAGAATGGGGAAAGCAGATCATGGTCCTGGAAGCTGAGGAGAAGAGCCCAATCGGGTATCAGAGTTGTCAGATTTTTTGGCTAAAATACCTTGTGCCACTTCAACTATCATCCCTATAACCCCCAAGCTAGACCCTGTGATACCTTCAACATGAAAGCAGACAGCACTACGAGGTCCGGGAATTTTGGTCCACGGTGGCCGCAACAAGGACATTGCAGCTTTAACCCGTAGGGTTTTAGGAACTGGGTGCGGGTCTAGGATGCACTTACACTCTCAGTCTAGATCCTGGAGAACCGTAGAGGTGTGACATTGCCAGAAGTCCCAGGGTGTAGCATACCTCGAAGTAGTCAACGCACGTAACTCTGGCAAACCTCAAGACTCGAAACCCCAAGTCCTGAACCCCAATCTGAACCCTTAACATCTCAAATCCTCAACCAGTGGAAAGGCTGAACAGCTCTCATAGCCCGGCGAGTATGCAAAAGCCCTTGAAGACACAAGCTAAAATGTGAAATGGCTTCAGGAGTAGAAATTGCAGGTCCGCACGTGTTCCAAGCAACACAGAAGCCTGAACAATCGAGAACTATCATCATCTTATAATCTTTGAATGATGTAGTATCATGCAGGCTGCCTGACTCCACACATATTTCCACATGTTTAGTCCATTAGGCCCCACTGAAGATCAGCTAAGACACTGTTGACACGATTGACATCTGCTTGCACCTGCGGGCAGCAAGCTGGTTCCCGTGTGAAGTTCTCAAGATTCGGGAAAACTATGCTAAGAAGACATTGAGCTGTCAGGCCTGCTGAGCGCTTTGACGCGTTTGCTCCGTTCTTCGTCTTAAAGCTCATTTCAGCTTTTCTGTCGTTTTGATGTACACCTTCCTTGCGCCACCTCTAGGTTCTACAAGTTGCCTGAAACAATTTGTCTTTCGTTTCTATTGCCTTCCCTCCTCAGTGATCCAGGCATCTCTGACTCCATGAGCTGAACATGGCAAAGCATTCCAAGTCCCTAGAGCTGGTACAGTGATCTGAATCAACACGGATACGCTTGACGAAAACTCACACCCCTGCGCGCAAAAGCATAATGGTTGCAAAGAATCTTGGTAATATGCCCCAAGCCAAAGACCGCTCCAAAACCAAGATTCTGAGACCCACAAATGGAATCCAAAACCGACAGCTCTATAAAACCCAAATCCCAAGCCTGTAAGGGCCTAACATGGCTTATTTCCTGCACCGTAGCCCCAATCCCCAAAGCCTAATTGTAGCCCCAAGCACCGCGCCCCCAACAGACTGAGCCACCTCAACCCCAACTCCACCGCTGAGCCCCAGACCGAAGCCTAGGCAAGCAAGCAAGCCTCAAATCCTAGGCCTAAGGCTAGAACCCAAACCCTGAAAACCTAAATCCCTAAACCCCAAGCCCTCAATCTCTAAGCCTCAAACCCCACGCTCTATATCCAACCCAAAGTTTCTAAATCACCGAATCTGAAAATCGCAAACTCCAAGTCCCCAAGCCCTCAAAACGAACAGTGGAGCCGTAAATGCCTAAAGCGCAAACCCTGATCTACCAAACCCGAAATCTCTGAACCTCTAAACCAGAATTCCCAAATACCTAAGTTCCTCCTACAAAACCATACAACGCCATAAAATCCTATCAAACCCAATAAAGTCCTATAAGCCCCAGAAAGCTAAGCATTCCAAAGCCCCATAAAACCTTGTAAAGCCACACCACACTCCAATCAAACACGCTGGCATGCCTGCATGTAAGCAGGCTATTCCGCTTATGACCCTTAAATCCCTTGCATAAACGTTACAAAGCCCTATTCTAAATATCTAGGCCCTCTACCGTACAATCCCCGTCAACCCTACCTAAGCCCAGCTTCCATGTCATGTTCAATCTTCTTTTTGATTGGATTCTGAGGATTCTAAGTATTTAGGCCCCTGCATGGCCCCAAACACAAAACCCAAGCAATAAACATTTGTTTTCATTTTCCTTTCCATCCACAGCTTTTTGTGTAGCATATCTCGAAATGTTACATAGTATCCCTCAGCGCTAAAAGCCCTGCACTGCCCCAAACCCTAGTTCCCAATCGCCCAATCCCTAAACTCCAAACCCTAAATCCCACACCCCTAAAATGCTAAAAGCACCTGAAACCCCTTAAATGACTGAAAGCCCCTAAACCCTAACAACAGCAAAAAAAATTCCTCCCCCCCCCTAGAGGCAGGCCTCAAGGCAAAAGCCCGTGATCATGCTTCGCCCAGCGGCCGCAGCAATTAGCATCGAGTTCCAACCCTGGTCTCATGCGGGCTTTCAGTTTTAGGGGTTTAGGCTTTGGGGTTAAGGTCTAGGATCTAGGATTCAGGGTTTAGGCTTTGGGGTTGAGGGCTTGATGTATGTTTGTAAACTTCTTCTTTGGCTTGCCTGGCTTTTCACCTTGTAGTGAAACCTTGAAATGCCAAGCGCTTTGGCGTTCTTGTCACCTAGGGGATCGGGGAAAGGGCTTGAGTACGATGGTTGGGTAGCTGGGATGCTAGCAACTTACATCGGCATTAAGTGGGCTTCATCGTAGGCAAGACAACTACTTGTAAAAGGACTGTAGGAACCCTACAAAGGAGAACCAGCGTTCCACTGGGAACCCGAACACTTATGTTATAAATCCGCATTACAAGTCCCTGAAAGCTCTTAGTGACGCTGCTGTCCTTTGGTAAGGTCTAGGGTAAGGTATCTGAAGCTGATGGATTGTTGGTGGTTACAAGTGGGCTATGGGGCACCTTCACATCTATCTCCGGCAATCTATGCTCTCCCCTTGTGTAGAGCCCTTCTGGCATTCCCCACCCAAGAGCTGCCAACACGTGCTCCCATACCTTGAGCATATATGCAAATCATCTAAGAACCCCCTTCGCGTGCCGACATTGTTAGAATTCCAGGAGTTCACGTCTTGGGGTGCTGATAACTGTGCTGAAAAACATCCTGCCCGCCAAGCACCCAACACCAGTGCTCATGGAGAAGACCTTGCACCACTTACGAACGCAACATGCTGTAATTGCCGGATTAAGTTCGTAGAAGGTACAAGATGTCTTCGATGAACTGTAGGGTTCTTAGGTATCAGACACTTTGTGGAAGTGGAAAATTCAAAATGACTGAGCTGCGCTGAAGTCTTAAGAGCCATGGCCTCCTCCGCAACACTCCATTCTGGGGCTTAGGGTACAGAAAGTTACTGCTAATTGTCTACGGTTAAGGATCTTATGTTCAGGATCTAGGGTACGGGGGTTAGAATTTGGAGCTTAAGGTTTGTGATGGCAAAACCCCATCCATTCAAAAGCCACATTACATGCATGTACCCTCCTCATGCGAGTGCCTTTGCTTCTGTAGAGTCGTCCTATGCGACCTTGACCACTGCAAAAGTCTGGGACCTTGCCTCACCTTGGCACCCGTAAAGTCACAAACTGTATGGCTCAATGCTCCTTCTGCCTCCTTCTTCTCGTGGTAGACGTTCGCCTGAGCCTGTCCAAAGACCCATCATCCCCCCCAACAAGAACCACCCCCTGAAACCCTAAACACCATTGTTTTGAGGGCGTGGGGGGGGTTGCAATTCGGGGGAAAGGATTGCAATAAGCGCTCAACTCTTGAGTTGGCCTGGCCGTGCGAACAATCATTATGGTCACAGCTCCTCCCACATCACAGCTGCCAAGAATTCGCAATGTGCTCACTTCAAGTATGGTCTGCTGGAAGCTCTCCTTGCACCTCTAGATAAGCCCTGCAAAGGGCTTTGTTTGGGTCTGGGAAAGCCGCCAAGGCTACTGATAGGCTCTTGCTGCTCTCAAATAGTCCTCGCCCAAAATAATGAAACCTCAAGCCCCAAAACAACCAGCATTGCAGGACCACCTGCAGCAAGCATTCCAGCGACATATGTGAGGTCCTATGTCTCTTCGCCTGGAGGTTGTGGAGTTGGGATTTCAGATTCTGGTTTTTCTTCAATGCCTGAAAGCCAAACCCAACCTGGAGATCCTAAGGAAATAGCCCAAGATAAAACTCCACACCCCTAAACTCTCCCCTGAACCCAAGGAATGCCGTATAAAGTCTACTGAGTACTGTCTTCAAAATGGGGAATCGTGGGGCAAGGTCAAAATCCAAATCTCATCGTTGGCTTCCTGCCTGCAGCAGAACGCTCACGGGCTCTTTGCGACCCAACATCACCTGGGTCGCCAAAGTAAGAGCACTCTACAGCCCCATCACGAAAGAATCCCCTCCCCTAATATTAAATCTCCGACCACCTAATATTGAATATTCCCAATATACCCCTAATGTTGAATATTCTCAATATACTAAGATAGACTACAGGGGAAATATTTGATGTTAGGAGTGTGGGGGTTTAATGTAAGGGGGAGGCGATTCATCAGAGCCAAGCTTTGCTCCAATCCAACGCAATTGCATTTGGGGGGGTATGAGCCCTGGACTAAAGTTCTGGTATCTTCCTGAATAGGTCCTGCCTAAACACCTATATATTACCCTATAGGTCCC